ATAAGAAATAATTACAAAAATTAACGTGATATTTAAAAAATATTGATATTAATGTAATTATTTAAACATTTCTAAAATCATATACCCCAATAATTTATTGATGCATCTGATTTTTGAAACTGGTTTTCAGACATTTATTTACCATATAATTTAAATAAAAATAAATACGACTTTGTGTGGACCAAAGGAAAAGGTCTGTACTTTGTAGATCCCAAAATGGTCGGTTAGTAATATGTCAACCTCAAAGATTGATTACAGTAAACCCCCTGAACTAGTAGCTAATTGCACATAACCCCCCTGCACAAAAGAAATTTTCATTAACCTACCTTAATTCAGGATTTCCGCATTTCCTTTTCCTTTCTTTGATTTTAAAGAAAAAATATTCCAATAAGTAGTCCAAATACAGTGGATATGAAACTCTAACACTCCCCTTCCAACGAAGGCCTAGGGCATATATTGTTCAAGAGAATCAAAAGGGGGCGAGGCAGGTATAGTCTGCCCCACGGTGTCAAGTCCCTGAAATGGTATATTTTGGCTCTGATACCATTTGAAAATACGTGGAACCCCATCAGATTACTCTCCAAAATAGCCCCTGAGGGAAAAAAATGCGGGTGCCAACTCGTATCCAGAAAAAACAGTCCAAGTCTAACACTATGCAAACTCGAGGCATACGACAAATACCTATATGACGTAGAAATCGAGTATGCTAAGTATTGCATTGATTCAAAGTAAATCGTGACGTAATCTATTTACAAACATTCAGATATCCCATACGAACGGGATCATAGTATTTTCTTATATTTTTAACGGTCTTGTAAACCATAAAGAATCTCATGTTCATAGTTCAAACTTCAAACCTCAAACAACATGAATCCATCTGTACAAAATAGTGATCGATAAATAGCAAATTGCATTACCTTGCACATGTAAAGAAAGACATGGTCTCGCGTATAACCCGATGGGCTTCTTATCGTCAAAAACTCTGGTGATAATAGCAACAGAAGCTCACTATTGGTGCACCATGAACCACTTGGGAAATTTCAAGAAATCTTGATAAATTTAGAGATAACGATGAAAGCCTGTTAGCCGGTGTAGGTGAACACGGTGGTCCGCCCAAGAACGAAGAGAACCAGTGAGAGCTCGATGAAGAAGATGGTGTTTATAAGACTTCGGTCAACCGTCCAACCGTACAAAGTAATGCCTCCTGGATTATTCTGCAGATACATAACTGCACACGAGGTTCAACATCATATTTACAAGACATGCTAGTAATAGAACTATATGACTTTGGTGTTAAATTTTCATCTAAATTGTACAGATTCGATTTCTTGAAATTTATAAGTCTGACCTCAAAAGTCAAACCATATCCCAACATAAATCTTTTCCCCAGTCGAACATCATAAAAGATGGTAGTTTCTGTCAGAATATGTGGAACCCATTAAATTATTCTTGAGTAATTTTAGCAGAGAAGGAAGGTTCCAACATATATTGGATGGTCTGTTGGAGTCCCACGTTGGCTAGACTTGGTCTATTTCTCTTGTATATATGTTGGAACCTCCCCTTTCTCCTCAAAGGCTCTTTTGGAGAGTGATTTGGGGGTTCCACATTCTCACATGGTATCAGAGACAGAGTCTGTCACTCTAGGGACTCGACACTCTGGCTAATCCCCTCCCTTGGGACAACTTTTGTCCATCTAGCCCATGTTCGAGGGGGCATGTTGGATTCCGTTGGAACCTCCCCTTTCTCCTTAAGGGATCTTCTGGAGAGTGATCTGGGGGTTCCACATATTCTCACATGGTCCAAGTCTAGCTGATGTGGCAATCTAACAGTTTTTGTCTTTGAAATTTATATGCTCCCTTTATCCCAAAATAAGTGTCCATATTTCTACTTATGTTTGTCCCAAAATACAATGTCTAGTATCAATAACTAAATTCTCAAATTTACCCTTAATTAATGTACAAATGTTTAAGATTTGTGAAGAGAGATACATTAAATGAGGGTAAATTTGGCATTTGGTTAACTAAAACGTGTTATAATTATGCATGTCTAAAACTGTGTGTCATTTCTAATATGCACACTTATTCTGGAACAGAGGCAGTATTAAATTTGGTTTCACAATGTGGTTACTCTATGCCAAACAAAACAATACCACTGTAGCCCACCAGGATGTGGGGTCCGGGGTGGGGGGGTATGCACAATGCGGACCTAGCCTCTACCATCAGAGAGTAGAACCATTGTTTCCGTGAACAACACAGTTACTCTAAAAACGTATAATTCCTAAAGTTCAATCTCAAGGCAAGATTTGCTTACGAAATGCTTGTCGCCTGTGATACGAAGACAAATAAGACGTCAGTTGTGCATTCGTGGGGAGCGGAATATAATTCATCACCTCCAAATCACTTTCCTCCGAAGAAACGGATCTCAATAAGTTATTTGCAGCCTCCAAGTTTCCCATTCTGTTCGAAAATCTCATTTGAGACGCATCATCTGGACCACACGAAGCTAAAGCATGCCACCTACTTGCTAACGCTGCAACGCCTTGTGCCCTGTGGGAAATCTTTGCCGCAGCATTTAAACAAAGAACCACCCCCACAACTTGTGCAATCGATGAAACCTGTCCAAAAAGAAGCAAAAATTTTACGATAAAAGACAATGCACAAGTACAAGTACCCTTCAACTTCTGAAATCAAACAGATAGACGGGGCTGTTTGGTTGGGTTTCCATTAAGTACTATATGGAGAAGGTTGTCTCTGTGGATTAATCTGTTTGTTTAGATTGAGAAAGTTTTTGTTTGAGAGAATTTTTCATAGATGGAAAGAGCATGTTTTTTAATTGGGAGGGGCATGTTTGGAAAAACTTGGCTTTCTGCATAAAGCTCTCCCTTAGAAGCTTACTGAATAAATCACTTTCTATACCATTAAGCTACTACCAACAGTCACGTATAGCTGACCAAATAAGCTATGAGTCTCGTTAAGCTCATTAAGTTGCAAATAAACAGGCTCTTAGGCCATGTTTGGCAACCATAAGCTAGCTTATTTTTCGAGCTTAATTAAAGAACCAGGTTTGGTTGGTCATAAGCTAGCTGATAAACTAGCTTTCTATAAGCTTTTCCCATTTTTTTCCAATTATGCCCGTTATATTTTCCCAATTAATTTTTCAACATGTCTTTTTAGTCATTTTACATTATCATCTAACTTATCAACTAGTATTTACCAAACAGAACTAGTTTATCAGCTAACTAACTTATTAACCAACTCGGCTAGCTTACAAGCTAGTTTGCTAAACAAAGCCTTAGGGTTTGTTTCTTAGCAGCTTAATGAGTTTAATGGGACTCGTAGCTTATTCGATTAGCTATACGTGACTCTTTGGTAGTGGCTTAATGATATAGAAAGTAGCTTATGCGGTAAGTATCTAGGGAGAGCTTCATGCAGAAATCCAAGTTTTTTCCAAACTTGACCCTAGCAATTAAAAAAAAACCTCCTTCTATCTATCAGAAAACCCTCCCAAGCAAAAACCTTCCCAATCTATACAGTATACAGACAGATTAATCAACACATACAACTTTATCCATACAAAACTGGATGGAAAACCAACCAAACAACAGTCCTTTCCAAATCCAAGATATGTATTTCATAATGGATCTTATGTATTTCATAATGGATCTTGCATAGATGTGTTTCTATTTGTGCCTTTTGTTATAAAGTTCAGCTTAAGAATCCAAATCTTCTTGAAATTTTAAGAAACCCACATTAATTCGGAACCCAAATGGCAAAATGTAATATGTTAAGCAAGAAGGCATTGAACTTACAGCAAAATCGCCACCATTTATGAACGTAACTTTATCCCTAAACTCCGTGATTTGGAATAGAGTCGCAAACTGGCTTGAAGTGACGACTATGAACACAAGTAGAAGGTAAATCCGAAACCTGTGGCTAATCTTGGAAAGATCATGGCGTAGACGGGCATGCTCTTCTATAAATACCAAAACATCAGTTTCTCTTTCCAAGAGGTTTCCGTAGTCATCAAAGTGGATAATTTGCAAATTGCAGACCAAATGAAACACTAAACACGAGGATAAAAAGATCACCGCCACATATATCCATGACACAGTCAAAGCAACAAAAACGCCACAAGATTGCCACCACGACTCACGGTGCATGTACATCATGCGGATAACTTCACGTGCAACCTTCAAGATAAGACATGGAAGCACCCACCAGACTAGCGCACGTTTAGATTCCTGCCATTATCATAAGAACGTTGTTCAAAACTAATTGGATCATAATCTCTCCAAAAAGATGCATTTTGAAGTGAGATTTTGATAAAACCAACCAAAACCAACAAGTGTCATGAAAATTTAAATGTCGATAAAGTTGAAATTAGTAAAATCGGACCTTAAATTTGAAATTTGAGGTGTCTATAGTTGTTTCAACCGGTTTCCCGACAAAACATACACAACCAGTCAAATCCTATCCAGAACTGGCATAGCTCTCAAGCTTATTTAAGGTTATAACAAGGGTTGGGTTCACGAAAAAACCACATAGAAATGAAAAACTGAGGAACACCCTAATAACCATTTATTTGTACGGTACACACATGTGCATAAAAGTAATTGAAAATGTTTCCTGGTTTTTATGCATGTGTGCATATCAGACAAATTACTTTTATGCATATGTGCATACCGGACTAAACATACACAGCCAGTCAAATCCTATTCAGAATTGGCATAGCTCTCAAGCTTATTTAAGGTTATAGTAAGGGTTGGATTTAGGTGAAAACCACAAAAAATAGAAAAATGTGGAACATCATGATAACCATTCATCCGTACAGTATGCACATGTACAGAAAAGTAATTCAAAATGTTTCCCAGCTTCTATGCATGTGTGCATTTTATGCATGTATGCATTTTATGCACATGTGCATACCAGACAAATGAATGATTATTAGGGTATTCCTTAGTTTTCCAAATTTTTTATGGTTTCCCCTAAACCTGACCCTATGCTATAGCTCTCCCCCTCTATATTTTTGTTACTAGATTGTATGACATGACAATATAATCAAGAACAGATAAGCAAAGAATCAAACTTTATGCCTAAAAGTTCTCATATTCACTCTAATTATAATCATAACTATTCCAAAAAACGATTCAGTCAAACATGTAATAGAACAAAACACATGTAATCAATTGGGAATATCTTTGCTTTTTATTTAACAAACCATTTTGCTTTTTTGGAGAAAATTGCAAAAAGAAACACCATTCTCCTCAAGAACAAGCAATCTGAACACAAAGAATCCAAACTATGATGGTTTCTTACATTTATACTTATCATTTCTAACCAAAAGAAACCGATGTAAGATGATTCAAAAAGGGCAATCAGTTGAGTTTACTTACAGAAATCTTCTGAACATACTCTGTTGAAAATCTTTCCACGTGGCCATTATACTGATCAACAAACAAAAACTTTCGAATCCCATATTTCCTCAGATTATGTGAAAGACAAAGGAGAGAAACAGCTGCCAAAGAAGCATGAGCAGAAACAACAACAAGCTCAAAGCCTTTGATTTGGTAGAGGTCACATCTCGAACAGTTGGTGGTCATCAAAATTACAACTACAGGAAGCACAACCCCAATCATCAAAAAAGAAACCCATGAAATCCCAAATCTCAAAACAGAAGATTGATGGAATCCCAACAATAACAAATAGAAATCCAATCCTTGAAGGTGTTTATCCAGATGATTGCTTGTTTCTTCTTCTTGCTCACCATTTTCTTCGTATTGAACTTGGATTTGATCTGTTTTGAAGAGAAGCAGAGTTCTGATTTGGGATGATTCTTGTTCTGCTGGAGTTGTGGGGTGATCTGACATTTGCAGAAAGATTTTGAGACCGATTGATGGAAGGAATGAAAGTGGTACGTGTGTAAATGATGGGTGTTTTTATGGGAAACTTAAAGAATTGAAAATGGTCAACAACACAATGCCCATCTTTTTGGGGGTAGTCTTGATTTGGATTCTATTTGGGAAAGGTGTAATTGTCTTGATTCTGAAGATGGAATTTTTTTAGGGGTTTTGATCTCTTTAAAGTTACTTCATTTGTTCAAATGATTATGTGTAAAGCACTCTTCCCCTTTTCTTCCATATTTTCAAGTGGTTCTCTCTTTCATTTGTTCAAATAATTGTAAAGAATTCCCCTTAAAGGATTATTTGATTATTTTTTATATTTTTATTTACTAAAAAGGTATATCCATACATATGCAATGTCATTACATACATCTCGATTTTAAAATTTTAATATTTTGTTTTATTCTTTGTTTCTGTCAATGTTATAATACGGATTTATGTGGTTTTCTAAAAACAATCACATTTTTATTTTTGAATAAAATATAAATTTTAAAATGTCATAAAAATATATCGAAATTAGTATTAAATTAACTATTTAAAAGATCTCGTTCTTTTTCGAACTAATTTATTTTTGGTTTAACAATATAATTTTTTATAAAGATAATAATTAAGTATTATGTTAGAATTTAATGATTATGTGTATTATATTGTACATTTTTTATATTTAAAATTATGTTTATCATGTATTTGATTATATTTATCTGCAGTTAGTTACACGAATTCAAATATTGAACTTTAATAATTGTACACACGTATAATTTACTTGTAATCTTGAATTTTAAGTAACGTACACCAAATAAACGTTTAGTAAACAACCCCTTAGTGTCAGGTATAAAATGATTGCTTAAAAACTATTATATATATATATATATATGGACACACAAGTGTGTACTTTTTTTTGGGATTATCTAGACTATATTATAAAATATTTGATAAAAACTTTTAAAAATCATTTTTTATGCATGAAGTACTGTTTATTTATACATATTACTTAAAATTCAAGATTACAAGTAAATTGTGCGTAATTACAACTTATTAAAGCTCCATATTTGAATTCGTGTAACTAACTGCGGATAAAAATAATCAAATAGAGGATAAACATCTTATTTTAAAATATATAAAATCTAAAATATAATTAGATATAATTATCGAGTTCTAACAAAATAATTAAATATTATTTTTATAAAAAATTATATTATTAAACCAAATATAATTACTTCAGTATTGAATCTCAATTAAATTACAATAAAAAAAATTGAATTAAAAAATTACAAAAAAATGAGAAATTTTTAAATAGTTAATTTGATATTAATATCGATATATTTTTGTCAAAATTTTATAATATCTTCAAATTTATATTTTATTCAAAAATAAAAACATTGTCGCTTTTTCAAAATCACATAAGACCATATTATAATATATACTGAGATAAAAAAATAAATCAAAATATTAAAATTAAGATGTATCTTGGTATATTACGTGAATACCTTTCTAGTAAAGTAAAAATAGACAATCATATATACATACTTAAAAAATGGGGCTACTTGCGTATTAACAATCTAAATAAGAAATAAAGAAAGCTTATTTTTGTTTGGTATTTGGGCGTGACAAGCATACCTCTCAAAAATCATATTTTTTTAAATTTAAATTAAATGTTTTTATTTGTACTAAAAGTGTACTTGTGCACTGTATCGAAACACAATTTGATTTTAATATTTCGTTTTATTTTTTATTTATGTCGATATATTACGATTTTATGTGATTATAAGAAAACGATAAAGGCTTTTATTTTTGAATAAAATATTATATAAAATTTACAAAAAATATATATCAATATTAGTATCAAATTAACTATTTAAAAGTTTTTATTTGTGTATCTTTTTAATTCAAAATTTTTATCATAATTTAATTTATCGTAACGAAATAATTTAATTTAGGTTTAATAATATATTTTTTATAAAGATAATAATTAAGTATTCTGTTAAAACTCAATAGTTATCCTAATTATATTTTAGATTTTTTAATATTTAAAATGAGATTTTTTTTTGTATTTGACTATATTTATCTGCAGTTAGTTCCACGAATTCAGATATGAAGCTTTAATAAGCTGTACTTACGCACAATCTACTTGCGATCTTGAGTTTTAAGTAATATGCATTAATAAACAATATTTTACGCATAAAAAATGGTTTTTAAGAGTTTTTATAAAATGTTTTATAATATAGTATAGATTATCATAATAATAATAAATTTGATTACTTCAAATAATTGTCACAATTAATTTAAATATTAAATAGATTCAATCGACCAAACTTGATATTACGATTATAAAAGAAGTAAAATATAATATTAAATATTTTATAAAATAACCTTATGGATTTTACCATATGTTTTTAAGGAAACTTTAATAGAGATTTTAAAAGGGTAAATTGCATTACTTTAACTTGATTATTATTTCAGATAATGTATTTTTAAAATTTTCATTTTGGTATCTAAGATGTAAAGTTTTAAATATTTAAGTATTCGGATAACCGATTAAAAACCAATTTTAGATTAAAAAAAAAACTAATTTTAGATTAAAAAAAGTCTATGTCATCAACCATGTTTGCAGATAATATTGAGTTTGATAACACATCACTCACCATATCAGCATGATAACCAGTTAATGTTTCAACCGGTTACTCAAGTACTTGAATATTTAAACTTTACATCTTAAATACTAAAATAAAAGTTATCTAAAATATAAATCAAGTTAAAGTACGCTATTTTTTCATACAATTTACTCATTTTAAAAGTATTTAACAAACAAAAGTTATTGTATAAAACGGGTTTCATACATCACCTGACGTGGTAAACAATCATAATGCAATTATTTTGGAAAGAAAAGAGAAAGTGAGTCAAATTTTTAATTATTACATACATAATGATTTTAAAATATTTATTAAATATAAAATAAAATAGTACAACAATTATTTAGATCTAATATAATCATTTATTTGACACCCCGTAAGTTTTCCAAAAAAACAAATATATATAATCTATATCAATACCAGGTCTTTAGTTTAACAGTATGTGAGTTATTGATCTTTTAAAAGATCAAGGGTTCAAACATCACATGAAAATAATATATAAGTTTATTTGTTATATTTATCATATATATAAATATTGTATAGTATATTAATTATTTTGATTGATATAAATGGTTCCAAAATATTGGTTTTATAATTATAATTAATGCTTATTATAAATAAGGTTAATCACCATCTTCTATTATAAGCCATACCTCATGAGATATTGGTGAGGTGAGGGTGTTTACTTCAATTTTTTATGGTTTTTTTTTAATCAAGAAAGGAGATCCTTATTAAGAATCAATTTAATTAGAGAATCCTTGAATTATTTTATCTATACTATATTTTAAAGTATTTGACAAAAAATTTAAAAAACCATTTTTTATGCATGAACTACTGTCTATTAATGCATATTACTTAAAATTCAAGATTACAAGTAAATTGTACGTAAATACAACTTATTGAAGCTCCATATCTGAATTCGTGTAACTAACTGTAGATAAACATCTCATTTTAAATATAAAAAATCTAAAATATAATTAGAATAATCATTGAGTTCTAACAGAATACTTAGTTATTATCTTTATAAAAAAATTATATTATTAAATCTAAATTAAATTTCTTTGTTACTAAACCTAAATTAAATTATAATTAAAAAAAATTGAATTAAAAAAATTACACCAAAACACAAAAACTTTTAAAAAGATTAATTTGATACTGATATCGATATATTTTTTTCTTCAAAATTTTATGACATTTCAAATTTATATTTTATTCAAAAATAAAAACATTATCGTTTTCTCAAAACCACATAAAACCGTATTATATCGACATAAAAAAGGAATAAAACAAAACAAATGTGTCTCGATGCATTGCAAAAGTACCATTCTAGTATATAAAAAACAAGTCTTTTAAACTTGAACTAGAACCCGATACCCGGTCAACATGTGGGCCCATATATGAGTTCATGAATCTGTATAAAAAACATAGTCTTGACCAGACAATTGTAAAGACAAGAAAAATAACGTGATAAGTTAGGGTCTGGATTCATGACTTGGTTTAATACTACTTATTCTATATTGCTTGAGACTTCTTCTTGTCTTTACAATCCCTTGCATAATAAATTTTCTTACATGATATTTATTTTAGATTATTTTTAACTAATAATTAAATATTCTATTTGTAACTTTCTTTTGACGGCAGAGGGGAATAGGAATGCAACATTACGGAATGTTCTAGAAAGAACGAAAAATGTTCAGCTTCGGAAGAAGCCAAAGGGACAAGAATCTTGAAACTATAGACTTATAAAATCAAACCAAACAAAACAATACAATAAGGGATTTTTTTTATTAGTAGCTTAATGAGGTTAATAGGACTAATAACATATTCGGTAAGTTATATATGACTGTTTGGTAGTAGCTTGATGATATAAAAGTAGCTTATTCAGTAAGCTTCTAGAGGGAAGTTATGCATAAAGCAAGTTTTTTCCGAACATGTCTCTCCTAATGGAAAAACACGTTGATTTCATCTATGAAAAAATTCTCTCAAATAAAAGTTTTCCCAATCTATACAAATAAATTAATCAAACGGGTTTATCCATAAAACTTAATGGAAAATCAACCAAACAGCCTTTTAAGTCCAACACAAAGTGGGATCTAGAAACTAAGCCGACCTTACCTGTATCTAAGGATGGTGATTTGCTCCGACTTGGTGGGGGAACCCGGCTCACCCCACCCGAACGGGGATGGAGATTCCCCGCTAAAACGGGTCCCGGGGCCAGGGATCCCCAGTAGGCTCAAACCAGGGTTGGGGTCAGGGCCAGGGATCCCCAGTAGGCTCAAACCAGGGTTGGGGTTTGACCAGGGACGGAATGTTAATCCCCGTACCCGCCGGGGACCGGGGCCTGGGGCTGTTACTGAAAAACGAGGCCAGGGATTACAAAACCCGCCCCGTTGCCATGCCTATGGCTGTATCTGAGGGATAAAGGAGTTGTTCAGTAATAACTTTTGGCTAATTCATAACTTATAAGCTATTACTACATAAAAAATGTGTTTAAATCCCAACAATATAAATATTTGATGACAAAATACAACCTGTTTCAAATAGGGAACACAGTTGCTAATACTCGAATGTTGCATACCTGTGTTGCAAACAGTTGGTACTTCACATGAATGTGTACTTTTCCATGAAATCATCACCCACATTGCATGGAGTCAAATCCTAAAATGGCACGAGAAACTTAGTGATCAAGATTTAGGGGTCATTTTACCCCGTAAAAGTCAACACTCGCACTTATTTTATCGGGTAAAATTATAGTCCATCAAAACAAGATCATTTTACTCAATAAGTGTTTATCGAGTAAGATTCTCTGTACTTATCACCGCTATTTTCGTCCCTTGTCATATTATACAATAAAGTAAATGACTCGACAAGCATTTACTGGGTAAACGTTTAGTAAACGGCCGCTAAGTAGCACCTTGCAACTTTACAAGGGTAGTTTGGGATGTTCAATAAAAAAAGGAAATTGTGCAAATAGCCATTTTGGAGTCCCCAATTCATTTTATAGTCGTTTTTCTACTTAATTGACCAAAACAACAAAGATTTCTCAAGTAGCACTTTAGCAACTTGTGAAATCTACATTATATGAATTTAGTATTCATAAAGAAACCATTTAACAAGGTGTTCAAGTGCTATTTGTGAAAAGCTGGCATGGCAAGTAGCTTATTGTTACTCGTACCGGGTAAGATTATCGGTCCTTGTCATGTTCATCAGGTAAGGTAAATGATTTGATAAGTGCTTTCCTAACCTAACATTTTGATTAACGGATTGACCCACTGCCGTTATAGAGGCCATTAGGCCCACCAATGAAAGGGGCYGGGGAAGTGTTCCATACGGGCAATTCAATGAAAGGAGGACCTTGAGCGTGGATAAGAATTTCAGATCACCCATTCAACAGGGTATGGTCTTGAGTCTATCAAGGTGACTGAGCTCCCAAGATCGGATGGACCTGGCCCCCGATAGGGAATAGGTCTAAGCGTAACCACTCACCTCACCCGTAATGCAAAGCACTCCCTGGAATCCCGGCTTGGCACTGTTAGTATTCTTTAGAACAATGCTATGCGTAGCTAGCTTTTAAGGTAGGGTCTTCGTTACTTTATCAAGAAAGTCCCCGACTGTCCCTGTTAAGCATTACTCCTCTTTTTCTGGTGCTCCCGCCTTCCTAGCCTTATGGACAGGAGTCCTCTCGCCTAGTTCTGAAACTCTTCCAGCAGCCTTGCCCTTATTGCGCTGCCTACCTTGGCAGGCAAACCCCGGAACCAATTCATTTCATCGGCCAGGGTAAGCGTTTAGCAAACGACCCCTTAGTAACAAAAAGATGTAAGTTTTTCAAGCGAAACAATAGATTTGAAAAGAGAAGTTTTAGTAAAACATGAAAATAAAGAGGAGAGTAGTTACGGGTATCGGTTAAAATAGGAAGTAATTCCGAGAAAGGGGAACGGTCGTAGCTGCAGGGCATGTGAGGTGCACGCCGTCTGCAGTCACTGCATATGTCTCGGGATCAACTTGGATGTTGGGAAGGGCATCGTTCAGTTTCATGTCAAGTTTTGTGAGCTTCCTTACTTTGCTCACGCATCTCACCTTCTTATGTAGTCCATAAAGGGTCTTTATATCGCAGTCCATAGCAGCCTGTTGGTCATATATCATATCAAGTTTCTGATTCAAGAATATATATACACACACATAATGTATGGGATAGCAGTTTTTGAGACAACCAATAATGCGTGACATGTGAAATATCTCAAAAATATTTTTCACTATTACGCTATATATCGACAGATATGGAGTGGAGGTTCAAATAAGAAGGCTTAAATATCTTGAGAAGGCAAGAAGGGGACGTCAAAGGAGTTTCATATGTGAATCAATGAAAAAATCCATTTGGAGATGCATATGTAAACTCATATGAATAACCTGTAATGCCGATTCACATACGCATCTTCAAATAGAATTTTTTTTCAGATTTTTTCAATTATTCACATATAAACCTTCCCTTCTTACCTTCTCACGATATTTAGCCTTTGAACCAGCCCCTAGATAAAGATATAGATATAGAAAGGAACCCGGGAATCGCCTGACATGTGTCACTATTCGGGATGAATATTCATCATGGATAACATATTCATGTGAATATGGAAGTTTATTCATCATGAATATGGACGTTTTATTCATCATGAATATGGACCTTTTATTCATCATAAATCACACATTCATGATTAATAACGTGTCCATATTCTTGATGAATATGCCATGTGTTGGACTGTGGGCGGTTCCCAAGTTCCTAACAAATTTTAGGTTCCTAATGGAACCTGCCCCTAGATATATATAAGTAGAAAAATATAGATAGATGAAGAAGTAGACATGCCTTGCTGACAAAAGCGATGGAGTTGGTGCATCCAGCCTTGCCAAATGCTCCAAACATGGGCCTCATCATAACCTGGAATAAGTAGCAAGATTGATTCAATAAACTCAACAGCAAGTGATGCAATTCAATTACTGGATTTAAAAGGGGTCTCACTTGTTCTTGGTGAAAATGCAAAAAGAAAACATTACATATTTCAAGAATAAATGATTTTGGACAAAAGATGGCAAGTATGATGGTACATTTTCATTTTCATAGTTTGTCCAAAATCGTTCATTCTTACAACTGTAGATTTTTTTTAGTATTTTCATAAGAATGATGTTTATTTTCCAACAAAAACCCAAGTATGATATTCAAAAAGTTAGGTCCCGTTTGTTAGCAGCTTAATGATCTTAATGGGACTCACAACTTATTCGATCAGCTATATAAGACTATCCGGTAGTGACTTAATCATATAGAAAGTGGCTTATTCAGTAAGCTTTTAGGGGGGAGCTTTAAGCATAAAGCCAAGTTTTTTCCAAACCTACTCCTCCCAATAAAAAAAAACGCTCCTTCCATCTATGAAAAAGCTCTCCCAAACAAAAACGTTGGCGATCTATACAAACAGATTAATCCACACAGACAACTTTATCCATATAGGACTTAATGGAAAACCAACCAAACAACCCCTTAGACGCTCATCCATGTTACGTACAGACAGTTACCGAATCTAATTGAGTGGATTGTTAGATACACAAAAAATAAACTTCATGTACTTAACAAGTTCTTGAATTGACATTTCTTTTACATGAATCAAAAGGTTACTGAAAGGCATTTGGCCTAGCGGTATCTAGCGCCTCTCAGTAGGTCAAGTGTTCAAACCTCACCAAAGATGAAAGGGTGCATGAGTTCATTGGCTGTATAAATATATTATAATTCAAAAGAAAATCAAAAGTTTTGCGTTACCGGTTGAGGAGTAGGGATGCTTGCATTTGGATCCCCCATGTTAGCCCAGGCAATATCACCTCCTTTAATCACCATTTCTGGCTTTGCCCCAAAGAACGCTGGCTTCCAAAGGGCAAGATCAGCCAACTTCCCTACCTACAATAAGTTCATATAGATCAATGATTTGGCAAGTTGCATGTATGAAATTAGAAAATTAATGGCCAGATAAGTTGTGACCAAAACTCAAAGGTTTCCTCACGTGCAGGGGCAGACATACATTGATTGATACAGTGGCATAGGGGGAAAAAGGTATATTCCAGAAGGGTGCCACCGTATTATTTTGTTGGGTGCCACCATATAGTTTTTGAAACTGAAATTTAAGCACAAGACTTTAATGGTGGAGATGGTCAATGCTTCTACCTTTGCACAAAATGCCCGGGTTGGAGTCTCAATGGTGTCAAATTTGTTAATTTTTAGCTTAAATTTTGGTGTTTTTATATACCTCTTGTGTTTTTAAAAAGATATATAGGCAAGACTAGAACATGGGTCTCCTCTATGGAGCCACAAGAAACCAACCAACAGATCAATACTATTATTGTGAGATTTTTCTTTAGATATTTTTTAATAGTTAAATTGTGCCACCACTAAAACAAATTTCTGGGTCCACTTCTGCTCACATGAAAGATAATAGCAGTCTCTGATTACGCACCTCAACTGAGCCAACATGGTCAGAGAACCCGTTAGCTATTGCTGGATTTATTGTATACTTTGCAATATAGCGTTTGATGCGGAGGTTGTCATTATCTGGTACGCAACCATCAACCAAGCCTCGTTGCAACTTCATCTTGTGAGCTGTTTGCCATGTTCTGCTGATTACCTGATCCAGTTGGCAGTAGAACACATGGATAAGAATCATTAGAATCAGTGATGCTTCAAGTCTTACAAGCTCTGGTAGTGGCTTAATGATATAGAAAATGGCTTATTGAGTAAGCTACTTGAGGCAGACGGCCAAGTTTTTCTCAAACCTGCCCCTCCCAATTAAAAAAACACGCTTCTTCCATCAATGAAAAAACCCTCCCAAACAAAAACCTTCTGAATCTATGCAGAGAGATAAATCCACATGACAGCTTTATCCATATAGAACTTAATGAAAAACCAATTCTTCCCTTTGGACCCATAAGATAGCATAATCACTTTCCATGATTTCTGAACAGAAGACTTATAGTAACCATTGGTCATCTGTATACAGTCCATACACAGGTTCCGATAGTGAAGTTCCATTACACTATTTTTGTTGTTATGCATAGTTCAATTAAAAATTTGAAGTATCATCAACATTTTAATTTAAAAATACAAAAAAAAAGGTTCGATAACTGACCTCCCCAATGCGACCCATAGCCTGTGCATCAGATGATATTATGCTTATTGCCCCCATATCATGCAAAATGTCTTCGGCAGCAATAGTTTCAGCCCGGATCCGTGACTCAGCAAAAGCTACATCCTCAGGTATGTTCTTATCAAGGTGATGGCAAACCATCTGTGGAATACTCATAATCTGAGAACATGTAATATAATAAAACATTCTTCTTTGTTCTTTTCTAAACAAACTTACCAGCATATCAAGATGTTCATCTATTGTATTCTTAGTGTATGGACGTGTCGGATTTGTTGATGAGGGTAGAACATTTTTAACACCACACACTTTAATGATATCCGGAGCATGACCACCACCTGCACCCTCACTGAAACAAAAGGACCGCAAGGAAAGATTCAGTTTTGACATTTGCAAGAGTCAAAACAATTGTCTATAGCAGCACAACAACCATCAATAAATCTGCAATAATATCAAACAAGCTTCTAGCAAACAACACATCCACCTAATTTCTTTTATCTCCTTCTGAATGCATGATAAATGGTAAGAAGTCAGACAAGCCATATGCACCTTCAATTGAATCATATTAACAGCAGCCCAACAGTATGTTGAGTATATGAAAACTATAGAGATAAAGTGAAAAATTATGCAATGATATCATCTAAGGACTAATGAAATGCCTTGTCATTTTTTCCTTCCTTTTCTACCACAGCTGGTGGAGACTGGGGCAGTAAATGGCTATATGAAAATATTAGTGATGAAGCAAAAAGAATTGAAATGATATTGTATGAGGATGGTGAAGTATCTTATCACTTATTCCATCCTTTTCGTCTTCTGCTGGCGGAAACTCAGGTAGTGGTTTATAAAAGAAGAGATTAGGATTAAGCAGAAACATGCAATGATCTTGAGTTACAGTAAGAGACGCAGGGGCGGGCCCACATGGATAGATACGGTGGCACGGGCCACCACTTCATGGTTATGTCGTAAGGGAAAAAGATTACGTTTCTGAAGGGTGCCACCGTATTGTTTTGTTGCGTGCCACTATATAGTTTTTGAAACCAAATGTTAACACAAGACTTTAACGGCTAAGATGGTAAATGCTTCTACCTTTCTACAAAAGGCCCAGGTTCGAGTCTTGCAGTTGTCAAATTTGATGTTTTTAAGCTTAAACTTTGGTTTTTTTTATATACCTCTTGTGATTTAAAAAATTATATGTAGAACGGACAGGAACATGTGTCTATTCTATGTAAGGACAAGGAACCAACCAACTGATCTATACTAATATTGTGGAATAAATATTAGATAATTTTTTATAGTCAAGTGGTGCCACCACTTGAAAATTTTCTGGGCCCGCCTCTATAGAGATGACTCTTATCGTCTTTTCCTTTACTGCTTCCGGTGGTGGAGACTGGGGTGTGAAGTGGACCTTCGGATGGGAGACTAGGAGGTAGCAAGGATGGGCAGGGGATCAAAGAGGGAGCCAAAAGTTGGAAGAAGTTCTTACCTGTGGTATGTGTGAATTGTTCTCTCTTTAAATGCAGCAATTGTATGTTCAACAAATCCAGATTCGTTCAAGGTGTCAGTATGGATATTAACCTATAAAATAAAAAATAAAGATTAGTGAAAAAGTGAAAATGTGAAGTAACTAAAATAATCAATTTCTTTAAAAGTTGTAACCTGGATGTCATATTGCTCTGCAACAGCCAAACAATTATCTATAGCAGCAGGTGTGGTTCCCCAATCCTCATGGAGTTTCAGTCCCATTGCACCAGCCCTGATTATTTCATGTAGTCCTTGTGGTTTAGCACTATTACCCTGGAAGGAAAACATAGCAAATATCCTTTCAAAACATCATAAAAGAAAAAGGCCTTTAACAGTGTGCATGTTAACTACATGCTTAAATAGAGTTGGGTTCCGGTGAGAATGAAAGTTATGATGAGAAGGGTAAGATGGGATCTCCACCCTTGGATCAATCCTAATTGAAGAGAACCATTAGGTCAACACTAATGAGATACACTAGATCCATTCCCTTCTAAAGTACATGCTTAAATAGAGTTGGGTTCCGGTGAGAATGAAAATTATGGTGAGAAGGGTAAGATGGGATCTCCACCCTTGGATCAATCCTAATTGAAGAGAACCACTAGGTCAGCACTAATGAGATACACTAGATCAATTCCCTTGTAAAGCGTAATTCATGGGTTGTTTTGGGATTAAAAGTTATCAAGGGTCCAAATTCCTTTTAACACTTCTCACCTTACCTCCGATTCTCAGATACTTCATCTGCTTAAATATGTAATATTAATGACAGAGAAAACAATTCCCATTCACAAAGAAAGAAGTATACTTTTCCAGTAAATCCAAAATTGATCGGAATGTCATCAGTGGCTTGCAGCATAAGTTTCATGTGTGAAGGTCCAGGGGTACAAGTAGTTGCACGTGTCCCCTCAGCAGGTCCTGTCCCACCTCCTATCATCGTGGTGACGCCTACACACCATTAAATTCAAGAAAAAAATCTAAATAAGAGTCGGGAAATTAAATTATCTAGAAACTTGATGTCCTTGAACCTTGATTCTCGGGTAGAGGTGAAGTGGAAAAGAAAACATAAGTAGAAGCAGGACTGAAGGCAATAAATTACAGATTTGCCTTAACAGAGTTTAATTTGCCATTTTGCAAGGAGTAAATAATAATAAGGAAAAGTTGGAACTTGTTTCTTTATGATTAAAACTCCTTGAATGTGGGAATTTTTTTGGATCAACTAAAGACATTTCTTGGGAGGTGAAACATTACAGAAAAACACCAACAGTTAGCCACGCATAAATATCACTAATACGATTGTCATAACTCATTGGCCATTGCTACAAGTGACGACTCTGTTCTTGTCAGGGAGAACATACAACATGTCCATTTGAAATCAACAAGCATAAGAGATAAGACTAATGCAAGTATGTGTTGCCTAAAATAGTATCTCCAAGTTCTGCCAATCTAGACCGAATCAGAGTGGTTGCTATACCACTAGAGTTTAATATGAAAACTCTTATGTATGTGATATTAACATATATGCACTACTCTTTTACTGAACTTGTTTGATGAACGCCCAAAGAGACTCGACGTCTGCCATAATAGAATAATTTTAGAGGGGCATCCTACAAAACTCTTACGAGGAACTACAAAATCTATTTATAAAAACAGCAAAAAATGCTAGATAAGAAACTTGCATACATAGAACAAAAAAACAATTACAAAAACAGTAGAAGGGGCCATTTTCTGCCATGGACCGGGTGCCACTAGTGCTAAGGGTGGAAATCAGTCAAAAAGAACGAATGTCGCATAATAGGCTTAGCGCTTGTTTGGTTGGTTTTCCATCAAGTCATATATAGTGGTATACACAAAACTATACAATTATAGTTGTATAGTTGTAAGTGGATTAATTTGTCGGTATAGATTGGGAAGGTTTTTATTTGGGAGGACTTTTTTTTATAGATGGGAGGAGCGTGTTTTTTAATTGGAAGGGGAAGGTTTGGAAAAAAGTTGGCCTTCTGCATAAAGCTCCCTCGTAAGAGCTTACTGAATAGGCCACTTTCTATATCATTAAGCAACTACCAAACAGTTAAATATAGCTGAACAAATAAGCTGCGAGTCCCATTAAGCTGCTAACAAACAGGCCCTTAGTTTAGAAGTTCTAGTTATTAAATGATTCTACAGCATAAACTTCACTGCATGAAGCACTACTAACAAACTGTATATTCCACAAGTTCTACAGGTGTGTGTGATAATATATCTGAATAGTTACCTACATACAATGACTCAACCATTTGATTTCAAGGAATTATTTAACTGCCATTAAGTTAAATACACAAAGTTTCATCACAACTTATCCATAGGTATCTAGAAACAGGTGGAGATTTTACCACTACATATTGCTTCATATGCCAGTTGAGGGCATATGAAGTGCACATGACAATCTATGGCCCCAGCTGTCACTATCATATTTTCTCCAGCAATGACCTCCGTGCTAACCTGAACAAAAGATATTGATGAAAACACTTAACTGTTTTGGTTGCTGTGACTGAGGTTCTAGTATATTCCAAACTCACCCCAATGATCATGTTATCAGAGTCACCATTCATAACATCTGGATTTCCTGCTTTCCCAAGGGAAGAAATAAAACCTCCTTTAATACCTATATCTGCCTTGAAAATTCCTGTATAATCAATTATCAAAGCATTTGTGATAACCGTGTCCAGGCAATCAGATGCAGAGTACCCGCAAGCTTGCCCCATTCCATCTCTTATAACTTTTCCTCCACCAAATACACACTCATCACCATAAAAAGCAAAATCTCTTTCAACTTCAGCAAACAAGTCGGTGTCACCAAGACGAATTTTGTCTCCAACAGTAGGACCATACATATTAGCATAAGCCTCACGAGCGATTTTATAAGCCAGTGGAGATCCTTCTACAATGACACCATTACTGCAAATCAAGTTAAAGGCAGTTACAGTTTGTATAGAAACACTAGATTCAAATTACACTACCAAATGCAACATCTAAGAAATCAGACTGATATTTTCATTTCTTAACTTGGTATTAGCTTCTTCTGAATTGCCAAATCCTCGTGCATGTACAGATTCCATTGCTGTTTTGACATGGGCATCATCAGCAGGGTTGTCTGTGATTGCATTACCTCCTCTGATAACTTGCTTACCGCTAATCCTGACAAGAGTGACAGATTTTGCATCCCCTGGCTGGCAATGTAGGAGTGAATCAGAGAACTTTAGAATGAAACACTGATTAAAATTAGCCGCATTAATTTCAATAAAACATAATGATGTTTCCTTAGATCATCCTTGTCAGGCTTGCATACTTTTTAATAGAAAATATAGACGTTAAACTTCCTTGTACAGCCATAGACTGCCAGGTGGAAGGTCAACCTAGAAGGTGAATGAACTAGGTCATCCGTTTTTGTTTGATGCAGATGGCATCTTATACTACTCTGCCTCCTCGTTAGTACAGCATCACCTCTTTCAAAGTTTCAAACTAAATCTGTTTCATTGTTCATTTATCCTGAAAAAGATGAGCATTCCTTTTTTGACAGGTATGTAAAGGTTTTTGAGGTAAGAATCAAACAAATGACACAACAACATGCAGCACGAGTTTAAGAAATAACTAAATGTCCTAAATACTTGTAATGCTTTAAGGATGTGCATTAGACCAGGATAAAAAAAGATGGGATATCATTTAAGCTTAATTACATATTTTCAAATTTAAGTAAAAATGTTTGCTCTTATAATGCACCATAACTACTTCTTTTGGAAACGCTACTGGGGAAACAAGTAATTAAGTTCAAAATTTTGCCAAAGAAAACCTTAAAGATGGGACATCACAGATGGAGAGAGTAAATAAATACAATAACTTAGAGAACTCAGCCTACTACCTTAAAAAAATAAAGACAATAAGGTTCACTGTCTGACCTCAAATCTGGTTGCAGTTCCTGCAGGTATATTTAACCTCATGCCATATGCTTTTCTCCGATCAAAAATTAAACATGGATTGGCCTCAATAAAATGATAATGGCTGCCAACCTGTAATTTTTGTAATTATCATCATTCTGTGATTTGAGATTTCACAAAAAAAAGGATACAAGCTTGATTCAAGAGAAAACAAAAATGGATTAGTTTATGAAAACAATATCAGACTTCTAACTTCCTGAGACGGCTATAAAAATGTTATACACCTTTTAATCGTTAGCCACATTAACTTTCTAAGATAACTTTAATCAAACTATGTCCTGAAGCAGTAAAATTTCTCCCATGCACAACCCTAATAACACATAATCCCCTTAAAAATGTACAAAGGAAACTACCTGTATTGGTCGATCTCCATCATTAGTTACTTTAAGGATTACTGCTTCCCTTCCTGAATTAAGCGTTATATATCCATGTTTAAGGATTAGTTCACCAGGAATCTTACCACTCTCCATATTTGGGAACTTTTCAAGTGAAGGAACTGCAGAAGCAACAAACTCGCCATCAGATTTTTTGTGCTCAAACAAGTTTCTAGTGATCATATCAGAGAGAGAAGGGAGTGTACTATGGTACATTTTATATGCCAAAGAGAGCTCAGGCCTCAGTGACATAAGTCTCAAACTCAGGAACATTCTTAAGGAAAGAACAACTATTATTGCATACTAGTTGTTATCATGATTCATGGCCAATATTGTTATCTAAACACTGAGAATGGAGATGGTCCAAGAGTGATAAGGCAGGAAACACTAAAGACATAAAAACAAAAAAGCTTAAGCAAGGCAATAATATTCGGACGAGATTCCAGTTTCCAGATAGACCTAGCTTGCACATGATCCGTCCAAAAACACTAGATAAGGGCCTTTGGCCTAGCGGTATCGTAGCCTTTCGCCTCCTAGGAGGTCAGGGGTTCAAACCTCACCAAAGGTAAGGAGGGTGTGTGAGTTTATTTGTTGCATTTGCCGTATATAAATATTATACTTAAAAAAACACTAGATAAGTGAAAATGATCAGATATCTTAGCAGACAAAATAAGTAAATGAATCTCTGAAGATGAAAGTACAGATTGCTTACCTGGAAGAAAAGATCCATGTAAAGCTAGATCCAAATTTCCATTTTCGCATGATATTGGATCATGTACAGTAATTAACTTTGTACCGTCAGAAAACGTCCCCTCAACCTGAAGATAATTTAATGAGATGGTGTTCCCCGTAATGATTACAGAATCCAAATATCAGTCTCGTATAGGGATCATTATAGAATAAGAGTTGTCTGATGTTACCATAAGGAGAAGTTATTAAAAGGTTATGAGAACATATTTGTGACAGGAATTGTATGCTCTCTCCATTATTTAATGCCATGCAATTTCAAAAGCAAGAATGAGAAACACTAATAAATGAGATTTGTGAAGAAGCTTGTATTCTTTAGGAACAGAAGTAGTACAACAAAAAGACAAGAATTTTCACATGTTCCAAGCATCAAGGAAAAAAAAGATAATGCAGATCAGTTAACTCATTCGGTAAAGTGGAACAAACTTCCGCTATATGGTATACAAGAGGAAGCTCTGATCATCAAAAGCAACACAAGTTACCTGCACAGAATCCAAAAGATGTGGAACTGTTGAAAGAACTTGTCTCCTGTTGACAAAGAAAATATGTAAGATTTGTTGACTGCATGCAAACACCCAATTGGCTGTTAAACAAAGCAAGTTATAGCCACCACAAGGAGTACGATAGTATGCTAACACCCTAAAAAGAATATGTAAGAATAATGTTCCATCTAAATTGTCAGAAGATCTGACAATTAAGAATATTAAAGCTTCAAAAAACTCCAACACCTGTGAGATAGCAGAAATTCAGTAAGACATCAGTTTGTAAACTAAACTCATCAATACTAAGAATACTCACTTGTGTAATTCATCCATTACTGAGTATACTCAGTCGACTAGACATTTGCTAACTTATAAAAATGCAACGGTATCGCAAAGAACCAACCATTACAAGAACTTTAATTCCTTCTCTTATTTCAAATATTAGATTAACAAAACCAATATTGCAGGAAACCCCTGAAACTTATGGTTTCTCGTTAGCAACCAAAAGTTTAACCATCCAAAACCCTATATTCCGTCAAATTCAAGGACTGTTCGACATATAGTTCTTTGTAAAAAAAAAGTTTGAGTCCAGTTCACCTATAGAGACCAAAATGTTTTTTTTTATTAACCTGGATATCCAACCCGCTATGCGAGCCGACTAATCCCAGGGCGACCACCTGCTTTACAGATAGCCCGGAGTCACCGCATTTGAACCTCCGTGGCCACAAGGGGATTTTTATTCCTCCTTGGATTTGAACCTTTTGACCTTTGGAGTCAAGCTCAAACCAATCAGGCACCACCTTGGTTATAAACATCTATAATGGTACCTTATAGATAAAGAATGGTTTGGTTTGAGTAATCTAGTACACTGTACCTTCCTAAAAGCTGTCTCCCAACATCCATTAATTCTGCCACACTCTTGTCACCATCATGTACAAACTCCAAAATCTAACAATAGATAGAGAAACAATCATCAGGTGGACCACCAAAATGTTCTACGCCCACAGTTCCAGAAAGAGATAATAGGCTACAATTTTGGGATCAAACTGCCTCTTTCTAAGAAGGCAGCCATTGTCTCGAAATTACGTGGCTATTTTGCCAAGCTCCATGGATTAACTTGCCAAATTCAAACTTTATAGGAATTTTTTTACAACTCAAACATACAACATGTTCACATATTGGTCCTTTGACCTCAAAAATCAACATCTCCCATTCCAGAAATAGATACCGTTTCACATTAAGGTCAAGTGGACTGGTCATAAACTGCAAGTAGATTTTGGTGCATGGTATTTATCGAAAAATAGATCCTAACAACATTCAACTTTACAAATAGAAGAATGTTGGTAAAAAAAAAAAAAAAAGCAATACTATTTATTTGAAAAGTGCTATTTTTAACTCAAAAGTCTTTTAACCAATTGTTCCTACGTCCTTAAGATGTCAAACTGTTGCTTTCCACTGTCAAAATTGAATTAGCTTTCCAAGAACATCTTAATTGCATAGATGTTTTCTAAGCAGGGGACAAATTTGCAACAAAATTAATTTCAATATTGCAAAGTACTAGGTCTTCTTGGGAGCATATGGAGTATATGCCACAACTAAAACTCTTGAAAACTGGAATCATATGAACTAAATCAATCTTTTTCCTAGTCTACCTAAAATATCACCAGTGTTATCCATAGAAAGTCGGAAAAAAAACGAATGTCAACCCACTCCGCATAATATCAAAGTAAATGTAAATCATTCATATCTACTACCTGAGTGGCAATAAGTGCAACAGCTTCAGTGTAATTAAGCCTTATTCCACGAGCAAGACGCTTTTGCGCTAAGTATCCAGCATTGTGTAACATCAATTTATCCACCTCCCTCGGTGCCAACTTCATCTTCTCTTGAATTCATCAAAAATATCACCGTTAGCATACAAATATCCATCAAACAATTTGATCAAACTCAAAAACTACGACGACCATGAATCCATGATCATAATGAATACGATGTGATACGTCGAAGAATGCAAATCCAACATGTAAATCAAATAACAGCGATCCAAACATGCTTCAATTTTGTGATTATATAATCAGTTACTGAGATTAGGGATTCGAATTCTGAATTCTCACCGGCGATTGTAGTAGTGAGCTTGAGCGAGAATGAGCGAAGGTTATGTTGTTTCGAATCTAAAATCCCGTGAAGACGCTGACTTGCGACTTTCGAGGAGAGTTTATTTTCAATTTGTCCTTTAATTTATTTTATTTTATTACGTTTTAGTCCCTTGACCCAAACTTTTTTTTGCATCAATGGTTCCTTGACCAACTTCCGTCGTAATTTTCCGTCAATTTTTGCCAAATTAAATCGTGGGCTAATATGTAAAGTTAAATTTATGACGAGCCTATGTAACAAGACACCCATACCAAGCAAAAACAATATGGTAAATTTTGTTTTGTAAAATAACAATATTATACCTTATATGTGTTCAAAATAAATTGTTATAGTAATTTATACTCATGTTAAAATTTAAAATGTAATATATGCATATTATTTGACACTAAAGATGTATAAAAAAATCTCAGATCCAAAACTCGATCTCAGCCCAGCTTGAAAAAAAACCCGAGGGTAGTGAACCCAAAGCCTATTCAAGCCAGGCCTCAATGTCCAATCAAGCGAAACTTTGGAGGCAAGTTTGAGCCTAGCCTGGTTTGGAAAAAATTCTAACCTGAAAAAGTTTGGAAAAGTTCGGTTAAACCTAAAAAGCCCAAAACAATTTGGCCTGAAAAATCTCGATTGGGTTCCTTTTCAACCCCAAAAGTTCGGCGTGGACAAAAAATGTCCAACCCTTTTTCCGTTCACTAAAAACATGCTCTGAAAGCTCGAACTCATGCCCGAAACGTGTGCATACCCTACCCAATTCACCTTCACACCCCATGCGTGCTATATGTAGACACGTCCCTAGTGTTGATCTATGCAAAAGAATTACATATTTCTCTAAGTTTATTATAAGAACTTAAAGCGCGACCAATAATTTATGGTGACAGGTTTTTCATACAACAACAAATATGAAGGCAACGTTTTATAACATGTTTTTTAAAAGCAGCAGGTACAAGTTTTTAAATGGTGAAAAGTTGGTTTTTGAAAAAAAAAATCGAATATTGGCTTTCTATGAGTTAAATTTCAAAAACATATAAGAAAGCTTTTGTTACGTTTCCATATCAAAGTAAAATATAATACTTAGTTCTTTTTTCTCTCATTTAATGCTTATTGGTGTTCCAAAAGTACCTTTTGAAAATGCTAGAGAGGAAGATGTATCTTGGGTTGACATATAATGGAACTTGTCAGATATATTGGGTCATATAGGATTTCTTTGTTTTCTCCCCAATCAAGATATCCTTTGTTCGCCCATGAAAGTATTGAACTTTGACATTAAAATTTCACTTCCGTAGCACCATAATATTTTCAACCAATTAGTGTTTTTATATATTTGATATATTTAAAATAATTTATCATGTAACCATAATATAGGATTAATTGGGACCATTCTTTATGATTGCTTATTCAATTCCCGGCTTAAAAGCTCCTTTAGCATAAAAACTTTATAACTAATCAATACGCAAGAACTCACCCATTTCCCAGAAAGGACCATAGACCTAATAAAAAAGAGATATGACAGTTCGAGTACAAGCATTAAAGATTGTCCTGAAAAAATAATGATTCTTCTATAAATAAAAAGTCTGTGAAGTTTGATTCCAAAAGTGATAAAAAGGAAGCATGGTAAAATATGACTAGGGGTCATTATGATATCGGTGCCAACTTGGTTCACTTCTTAGTCGAAAGTTAAATTATATATTTGTCAAGCAAAGTGCGCTTTACCGAATTATCGGTGAAGCAAGGGAAGGGCTCGGAAGACAGGCACGTTATAGCTTTTTGTGTTAAGGTTGTTTTTCTTGTAGTTAGATGGAGCCCGGTTCTCCTTTTTAAAACAGGATGGCTTCAACGCTCGACTCTGGACAATCAACATAAACAAAGACCCAACCTAAGCCAAGGCTCTTTCCCTCTGTGATTGTTACGAAGATACTACGCGGATAACAAAGTTTATCAACTCCAAAACAAAGATTTGAAAGATTAGGTTCACTATTTCTTTCGTATGAATATGATTCGAAGTGGAAAATTTCAAGAAACTTACTTTCTTCCAAGAAGTCGATTCAAGATTAAAGTAAGGAGCGACAAATATAAAAATAAGGGCTTTTGTTCGTAAAATTTGTGAAAAATGTCGACTAATCCGTCGCCAAGGACGAAATATAGTAATTTGTTCCAAGGGTTGTGGTGCTAATGTGCCTGTGCATGAACCCAGTAAGAAGCATTTTTAGCATATTCTTTTACCTCGTTATCACTTTCAACTTTAGTTGAAGATGGTTTGTAACTATTTTAATGCACTTTAGCTCTTTTAACACATCGTTTGTAACTATTTTAGTGCACTTAGCTCTTTTAACACATCGGTTAGAGATGGGTCCAAGTTTTTCTTGTCCTAAATGCCATAAGCTTCACAAATGGTGGTCAAAAACTACAAGGAAAGAGAGATTAGTTATACAAAACATAAACCAAACAAAACCAATAAATATAACCATCTTATGGTAGGGTTAAGGATAAGATGTATACAGACCTTTCCGAAAACCCCAACTAGCAGAAAAGGTTGAGCTCAACTATAAGCCACACGCCTGGAGGTCCCAGATTCGAATCCAAGAAGAAATAAAAATCCCCTTGTGGCCACAAAGGTTCAAATGCGATGACTCCAGGCTACCCGCTAAGCAGGTGGTCGCCCTGGGATTAGTCGGCTTGCATAGCGGGTTAGATATCCAAGTTAATCACAAAAAATATATATATATATATAAGCCACATATTTGCAAAAAAAAATGTCTTTTTTAGACAAAATTATAAATAAATAAAAAATAGTTCATTGGTTGTATTTCTATTACAACAATTATATGTTTCAACGATGTAGCATACCTTCAACCCATAATCTAGCAAAATCCTCTGTATACTAAAGACTGGGAAAAGTGTGGTCAAATTTTCTCCTCTACACCTATAAAAAAGTTTGGTGGTTAAAGTTGACAACTTGCATAATAGTCAAACTCAAACCTTGTTTTACAAGGAACAAAAAGCAAACTCACCATAATGTCAACACAGCAAGTAAAAACTGCTATTTGTTTGTTTTACGGGCAAGAAAACGCTCGCGAGCTGCTTGTATTCGACTGCTAGAGTCGTCAATTGGGCCGACTTTTTTGGGAAAATCCGAGTTAACTGTTGTTTTCTCCTCAGACTGATCGGATCCACCACTGCTCCAAAGATAGTAAGGATGATATATAAATATATACATACATATATATATATATATGATGATATTTATAAACTAATAAGACTAGCATAATGTAACAAAGTAATATTATCACTTGGTGAATGCCTGGCCATAAGTTCCCCAAGGTGATGCAATGCTAAGTATGATCTTGGAAACTATAGGTGTTGCATGGCCTAGGGATGGTGATTTGCCCCGACCCGGTGGGGAACCCGGTTCACCCGACCCGGACGGGGACGGGGATTCCCCGCTAAAACGGGTCCCGGGGCCGGGGGCGGGGATCGCTGGTAGACACAAACCGGGGACGGGGCGGGGGATCCCCGGTAGACACAAACCGGGGACGGGGGATGTTACTCAAACCGGGGCCAGGGATCCCCGGTAGAATCAAAATAAAGAATACTATTTACGGGGATTGACCGGGGTTTTACTAGGTTTTGACCGGGGATTGTTAGAGATTTGACCGGAGACAGGATAATAATCCCCGTACCCGTCGGGGCCAGGGGACGTTACTACAAACTGGGGCCGGGGCCGGGGCCGGGGCCGAGGATTACAAAACCCGTCCCATCCCCGCCCCGTTGCCATGCCGCCATAGCCGCATAGGCATCACCATAACCACTATGTATATATGTACATAGGGGTCAGTTCAAATAAGAAAGCTAAATATCGTGATAAGGTAGGAAGGGAAGGTTCATATGTGAATCATTAAAAAATCAGAAAGAAAAATATATTTGAAGACGGGTATACGAACCGTCGTTACAGATTTTCCACAAGGGTTCATATATGCATCTACAAATACACTTTTTCGATGATTCACATATGAACCTTTCCTTCTTACTTTATCATGATACTTGGACTTCTTGTTCAAACCTCCTACCATGTACATATATATGTATGCAGAGTTGGGTTGCGGTAAGAATAAGAGTGATGGTGAGAATAATTTTCTAAACTGTCGGATGAGATGATTTTTTGATCTAACGGCTAAAAAACTGTGGACCTTCAATTGATTGCTTACCAAAAACACTGACCTTCAACTAGCTTCAACTACATTAATCTCACTTCAACCATCTTCATCAACCTTAATCATCACTTTTATCTTCACTTTCACTCACATATATGAACTTTTGCATACCTTTAATCACTTTCACATGCATGAATTTGTTACGGGTGCATTTGGTACACTGGACAGGACAGGACAGAACAGAACATGGATCATTGTTTCACATTTGGTAGGACTTCTATGTGGAACAAAGTGGAACATACATGCTCCATTTCCACCCCATGGAACAAGGTGGAACAAACCTATATTTTACTAATATAACCTCAAAATAAAAACCTATTTCTCTTCTAAAACATCAAATACGCCTCCCTCTTTACATCTTATTCATTCTTTAAATTTTATTTATTGTATTTTATGCTCTTTAAACTTTCAATTATTATTCTCAAAATATTATTTCTATACAGTTTCTATGTCTTGATTAATTTGTAATTTATTAAATATTTATAACGAAAAAATAATATAGAAAGGTTATAAAATAAAAATTGGAAACTACATAAACTTTTTGGTTTTGTCATTTTAATCATCTTGACGAAAAGTTTCTAATGATATATTTTGTTGTAAAAAATATTTATTTTTTATAACTTAATGAATTAGATAAATTAATCAAAATATATAAACAACTCATTAGGGGTAAATTGGTCATTTCATCTGTTCTTTCTTGTCCAATTTTGTCTTACCAAACGATAAGTAGTGTTTTAGTCTTGTCCTATCCTGCCTTGTCCTATCGTGTCTGGATACCAAACACACCTTAAAGTTTCAGTCATGGTGATAGAAATAGGTCAATGAAGGTAATTGAAAGTAGATGAAGGTTTTGTTCTCACGTTCTCACCATAACTCTTTTTTCTCACATGATCCCATGTCTATGTATGCATACATTTAGCCGTAAGCAAGTGAATGTCTTGAAAATATGTACACGTACCTGAGTTTACTGACGTTTAGCTTCTCAAGTTTATGCAGTATTGGGGTAACCCATTGCATCTCTACTTCACAAACATTGCGCATATATGGGCGTGAGGTAGAAATAAGTTCATGATACACAACATAATTTGGGAGCATTCCGTCATCATCTGTTCGCAGTACAGAAGATGGATGCACCTAAGAAAAGCAAAACTAATAAGAACAACGGATGCACACAACAAAAGAAAATTTCAGAGGCGTGATACTTATGTTAAGAATCTAGGTTTTAATTATGGCTAAGGTCCATAACATCTATGCTAACTAAAAGATCATTAGATTCCAGATTACTGATCACTGGGTAATGTAAAATTCTTTATATAGGAGCAGGTAAAGACTAATGCATGGCCATTTCCACGGTTGGTAGAGCCTGGCATTCCCATAAAAGCCCAGATAAGGGAACTTAAAGTACTCTCTATCTCCGTCCCATGAAATTTACAATGGTCTCTTTTTTTGGGACGTCCCTCAAAAATTACAACATTTCTTTTCTTTTTGGGAAGTTTTCAGGTTAGTACCGATCTACGCATTCCATCAGTTCATTACTACAAAAATGATGGTACTAATTTATACCTCATCATTCCATTCTTTTGTATCTGTTGAATGATATTTTAGATATCCAACAAATTATCAAACATTTTCCTTAAACTATGTGCCAAGTCAAAGGTTGCAATTTTCATGGGATCGAAGGGGTAGTTTGTTTGACCACGAAAGTCGCGTAGAATATTGTAAAACCAAGGATACATGCAACAATATTCTTGTTTGTTACCTGGACAAGCTGACATTTGAAGCCAAGAGTTCGGTAACCATTATGATGAATCATTCGCTCAGCAAGCTGGCTCGCATAGCCAACACACAGAGCCTTTCTTAGACTCCTATAATCATGTTGGCTGTCTCTCCGTCTTTCCTTTCTTTTTACATCTAAGGACCCTGTTTTCCAATCACAATGCAGGACAAGAAAAAAAGTAAGGCATGTGTGCTCAATCAGTTATGTCTCATTTAAAACCAAAAAGATAATACAGTTGTGACAGCTAAGATGAGAAAGTACAGGACCATTATTTTATCTTTTTAGGCATTTCAGATATTTGACTAATAGTCAAACACACACTACAATTAATGTGCTCGGCCAGTGGCTATACTCGTCTTTGGACGACACAGGATTAAATTTGACATTTTCGCTGTGTTCTCGAAACCCTTTTTACTAAGGAAAGGAAATGGAGGGAAAGGGGAGGAAAGTAAAAAACACGTGTTCTTGAAACTTTTTTAGGAGAGAAAGGAAAGGAAAGGGAAGGGAAATAATGATAAGTTTCCTTCCAACTATGGAAGGAAAGGAAAGGAAAGAAATTAAAACCCTTTAAAAGAATTATTAAAATCACAAAATTACCCAATCTTTCACTCTAAGGGATATATTTTTAAAGGGTATATTAGTAAAATGACATTTTCCTTTCCTTTCTAAAAAACTGGAATAAAGATTTGAACAAATATACTTTCTGTAACCTTGAAGCTGGTCCGTAGCTAACCTTTTGCAATCTTTTGCATTATTTGAGACAATTGTTTCCGGACATCTTTGACAAATAGCATCCCTCGTACCTGAATATAACAATTTCAACAGAAGAAATCACTACCTCACAAGTCCAAAATTCTGAGCCAGAAATACATACCACACAACACATTAGTTCCATTTATTGATTCTTGAAAAAAGGTTAAGGTGATGTTTGTCTTTTAAAGTTCTGAAGTTTGAAGTCTCATTTCACTTCTTATTGATATAGGTGGTGCTGTTGTTTAAGAGCAGAATCTACTGTTTGTTTTTGTAAACTGATAAATGTTTGAATGAGCAAGTAAAATCAAAGTTAACAACATGAAGAAACTATTACCAACAAATAAATAAATAAATGCTAATTAAAACTTGTCAAAAATAATATTTAAGTTTTTTTTAAATAAAAATATAAAGTATGGGTATCTTTTAAGAGTACAAAGTTTTGTGCTATTTAGACTTGTACATCTTAAATGTTCTATTGTCATGGTACAAGTCGTAAATTTCTTGTTTTTAGGATTACAATTTTTTTTTTGTTTTAGGGAGATAAGAGGACCCTAAGAGGCAAATAAGACATGAGTTTACCACTTGCCCAATAAGATGGCGGTAAGAGGTTTTAAGTTCTTAATTATCACATAAAAAACAGAATTATAAGTCTAACCTCTTATCCGGTAAGGCATTAGTAGTTAATTAAGAGGTTGTTTTCAACAGAAAAAAATAGCAGCACCTAAAACATTCAATATCCTTACTTAGATTAACTGCAAACATACAACACATGGGATGCCATTTTATTGATGTTTTGATCATTTTAATAAAAAAGATAAGGAAGTACATGCATACCCAAAAGTACATGCATACCCAAAAGTACATGCACACCCAAAAGTATGTATGATCATTTCTATATAACAAATTATTATACTTTGGACACAATATTATATGCATCGTTGCAGAAAGAAAGGGGAAAAACTACCTGTAGGTTGTTATCTTTGCACCAGTCGATACTATAATCAGTTTGATCCCAGAGCTCAAAGATTTGAAGTAACTGGATGTGGTCACCCCAACCGGAACCATCAGGAAGCTCTGAAGGAGGATGCTTTCTCTTCTTGTCCGTGCTTTTGCTGCGAATCAAAAAACCGTAAAAATGAATATTTACATTTGGATCTGGGATAAAAGGGCTTGTCATGGAGAAGTATGATGTCAGAACGGATAGTATATGGTGATGGACTTATTAACAAGCATACATTTCAAAGCAGAAACTTTAAAGGTTTAACACCATGATCATGCTATATATGTCAACAGGTAATTTCAATAACAATAACAAACATGATTGTTGATTCCGTAACAATACCAACGTGCCAGAGAGATCTATTTCTGGTTCTGTAAGGACGGGAAACAAAGACAAATGCTTAAGGGGGCCTGTTGAACAAAAACCATTAGAAACTATAACGTGGTAAACCGACCCCAAGTGCCTGAGGCAAGAATAGCATCCCCCTAATTCTCCTATTCAAGGTCGAGTCCTCTCCAATAACGGTAATCAGTTAATATCTTTGGAATTTCGGGTCCTTCCACCCACATTAATTTCCTCTACCTCTACCTTTGCTCATGTTACCTCTTGTTTGTATGCTTTCAAGCTCCGGAGCATCTGGAAGTGTTCAAAGTAAATGATGCAGAGCAAAAAACAGTACGAAATTGCTTCATCATCATATAAGAAATCACTTTCGCCTTTTTTGCGCTTGGAGTTCTAGCTCCATGGTTAATGAAACTCACCTTAAATTAGTTGGAGTAAACTAAATTCAGCTCCATATAATGAATTAAAAATAGATCTGGACAAGGTCAGAGAAAAAACAGAAAATCTACTAATTTTATGAAGTACTCATTATTAAACTTCAGAGGCTCGGTAATGTTCTCTCTTTTATTCCAAAAGTTAAGCCCTCCTTTATCACTTCTACCAAGATATATCAGTATATCTTACCTCTTTTCATACCCTCAAATTGGGAAAGGGAATCATGAATGGATCACAAAGTCTGCACTAAGATATAAACAAATTCTTTTTTAGAGGGGAGTATGACATAAACAAGAAGGTTCTTGATTCTAATATGCAAGTTGGTTCTATCAGACCATAATGTAAGTGGAGACACTTGCATGCATCCATACGTCGTTTTTCTGATTTTTCAAGGGAAACTCTACATTTGCTATGATGAACTTGTTACTGACTCTTGTCATACATATTCTTCTAATGACAATGTTTATCCAAGAGCTTGTTATCCATTGTAGACAAATGTTTCAGGCTTTCGGCAAATGAATCATCCTTCATTTGATCAGATCTGTTAAATTCTCACAACAGGCGGCATCATCTTCCAACAGGTCAATCATTTGAATTTCAAACTTGTATCACAAATTTGCTTAGGGTGGTGGAAAAAAAATTCCAACCATCCACAATAATGCATTTAAGTAACATTCTCAGAATTATACCTTCGTCCAGGAAGCAATGTACCTTCCACTGATAACATAGCAGCTATAGTCAAAGCTTGAGGTAAACAACCACATTCATTTGCCTCAATTAAGGTCCTTGCAAGCGAAGGTTCTAAAGGAAGCTCTGTTGGAAGAACAGTAAATTGTCAGTAGCTAGAATACATTTATCTGTCCTTTGTGAAAATATTTCCAAAATCCAACATGCAAGTGACAAGACCTGTCTGTTGAACAAAAAAGAGTCCATTCACCCCTCAAAGAAAGGGAAATATATACTGCGACAGGTTTACATAATCCACTTGTTCATTTTTTAGCTTTCAGTTATGGTTTTTTTGCTTTCCATTATTGTTTAGATTTGGCATGCTGATATAACAAGGCTTCAGTTAGGAGTAAATGGCATACCTGCCATGGTTTTTCCAATAGCCGTGATGGTGCCATTTTCATCTATAGCATCAATCAGAAACAACTGTTTAAGAGCATCTTGTAAAGTTTCAGCTGCAGAAAAGCCATAATATGTCATTCTATTAGCTGGTAGAAGACCCTGACATAATCCACTAGACAGTAATACATGGAAAAGGACGTACACGAAGGTGCATCAAGAAAATCAAATTTGAGAATATCAATATCAGGAAGGTCCAATGATTTCAAATAAAGAACACTGCCAGCTAGAGAAGACCGTTGTATTTCAGGAACTGTAGCATCCAGCAAATCATCATGGTAAACAGCAGACGGGTATAGACGATAGCACTTCCCAGGTCTTGTTCGTCCGGCTCGTCCTGCTCGTTGGTTTGCTTGCACCCTGCATTTGAAGTAACCTTTTAATGGACTTCTATTCCCAAAAAAATATGTAAACCAATAGTAGGATAGTTACATAAGAAAGAATTTTCAACAAAGTAAATTTAAATGACAATGTGATGCAAGAGAAAAGAACGTGTGTTTAATTGTTTAGACTGTCAAAAGGTGTGATCAATACAATAAACACCATCAATTATTACCTGCTAATCTGAACAACATCAAGGGAATACATCCCGCTTGATGGATTATATTGTCGCTGCTTCACATAACCAGAGTCAATAACATACCTATTATTGTCATTGGATTAAGAACATTAATCATCAATAACAGGAAAAGAGATGAAGAGACAATCGACAAGTTATGCTTTGACAATATTATGGAAATGATTAGATAGAGAGAACTTAGATATAACATTTTTTTTAAGTACAAAGCAATGTTATATGTCAGGCAGAGAAAAAGTAAATTAAAAACTCCAGATTCGGTGGGCCTTGCGACAACTATCCACATAATCAACCTGTTGTCCTCCTTTCTTCTAAATTCATATTTATTATAATTTTCACCCTCTCATTTCTATCATTCACCTAACGCCATGGAATATTTGACTCCTTCCACCTCAAACTCAAATGTCCCCAGATTGACCAGCTATTATGAATGCATGCACATATAGCTTCATAAATTGCTATCATGGTACTAAATGAACAAACAATATGCACTTATAATGTCAAAAAAAAAAAGATGCAATTTGTTTCAGTTACGTTGAAGGTAGGGTAATTTAATGCGCATGTGTCTTCAAACCCAATAATATAGCCAATAAAAGAAAGAAAAAAATTGGCCACCAAAACAACGCCAAATATTACTTTTTGCCCAGAAAAATGTAGTATCTAAAAATCTACGTTTACAAAAGAAAAATATGAACTATGATTAACAATGTAAAACCGAAGTCTTTTCATTTTAGCATATACTGCTACTACGCTACATACGTAAAGATTAGCCTACAAGGTAACTAATTAGTGACATCAAAGTTGACAAAATAGCAAACTTTCTGGCAAAAGTAGAATCTCTTACACAACACCATCAACAGTCAAAGACGTTTCAGCAATGTTTGTAGCCACAATAAAACGCCTACAGTTTCGAGGAGGAGGACTAAACACTCGCACCTGCAGAATCATACGGGCAGTGAGCCATCATTGGTTATAATGGGAATGGTTATATAAGAAAGATATAGGAGAATAAAAATAATTGTAACACTTAGGTCGAGATAGATGGATTAAAGAATATACGAACATAAGAATGAGTACCCAACACCAGGAAAAAAGTAAAGTGAAACAAAAAAAGAATAAAAACCTAGATGTTCAAAACCATTAAAAGACAAATGCTATAAGCCTGTCAGCAAATTGACCTCCGGAAACAAGGGGTGCATTCTGAGTAACTCAGGCACCCAAAAAAGCAGTTGAAGAATGACAATATATGTCATTTAATAAGTTATGTGAAACATAATGAGGATGCAACAAGTAGTTGTATGTATGACATCCGGATAGCATTGAGACTGCAAGATAACAGAGAAATACTACTGTAAGTTAACTACATAGACATTAAGATGAACAACTTGCCTGCATTTCAGGTGGCAAAGAACCATGAAGCGGAAGGACTATGGCATCCATACAAGATCCTGCCTCAAGGTTTCGAATTTTTTCCTCCAATTTCGAAACCAACTTCTCTATATCATCCTAAGAGGACCTTGTCATTTTCCAAGAAAGATAACATAGTACAATATGGAGAATAAATTATCACAAAAGAAGTAAAAATTGTAAGGCATGAAATTTTAATTACCTGTCCAGTCATAAATATCAAAATGTCCCCTTCTGGCTCATTGACGTGTATGTCTATAACAGAGTTATCATAAAAGCCAAGAAGTAGCAATTAGTTATTTGGTATAGCATACTAGATGATAAAAAGGGGAATAGCAATGGTAAATTTTTGATGCAGGTTAGAACATTAACCAATAAATATGAAATGCAAAGTGCAAGTACAAAATCAAACAACCACGATGTTTTATGAAGGGAGGAGAAAAAAGTTGTGCACTTACCAATAGCTTTTCTCAGAGAAGAGTCGATGTAACTTTTTGGTTGCTCTGAACTATATAATATTTCTACAGGGAACAATTTCCCAGGAACATTCAGGATGGGGCAATCAGAGAAAAATCTTGACACCTTCTCGCCATCAAGAGTAGCCGAAGTGATCAAAACTTTCAAATTGGAGGCGCGAAGTCTAATCAAACGCTTCATCAGCCCCATCAATATATCACTAAACGCAAATACTTTCATAGATTAGTTGAGACTGTCTAGAAATCTTTCAAAACGTCAAGGACTCAAGGTAGTTCAAATTGCTTGTCATACAAAAAAATTGCAAAAGACATAATAAAAGAATGGCACAACAAAAGGTAGGATATATTAGAAAAACCTTCTACCAAGATAATCAATGTTGAGCTAGTATGACAACACAAAGAAACGGGAGCACAAATCTACATGAATATTTATGCATTGTCTTTGCATTTCAAGTTAACTTACTGGATAAAGCATGAGGGCTTACGTGTTTAGACTCCTTTCATGAGCTTCATCCAATATGATCACTGAATATTGTTTCAGCTCAGGGTCAGAAAGACTTTCACGAAGAAGTACTCCATCAGTAAGATACCTGGCCTCACATGAATTCATAAATCATAATTAGAAATCAGCATAACTTGCCAGAGCTGATTGAAGGATGAAGATAGTGGCATTATGGCCACTGAACTTATAGAAATAAGCCTTACTTAATACAAGTTCTCTCTGAAGTCCTATCCTCAAATCTTATGGCATAACCAACTTCGTCACCCAGTCGGACACCAAGCTCCTCTGCAACCCTTCTGTACATGTCAAGAAACAAACAAAGACCAAGTCATATTCAAGTTTCAACTAAGTAAAGACATGAACAGCCCATAAATTTTCACAATCATCAAAGCTCATTCTTACATTCTACTTTCACTTGTTTGCTTAGTTCTTGCTAGTAGATATTGAACTAATAATCTTACTCTCTAAGATCAAAAGTTGAATAGAACTTATTTGCATTTTCCAGAAACACGACTTACTGATTGGTATTGCATATAACCATACTTAAGTCTTTCCTTCTCCGTAGCGCTACATCATATCAATTACCATACAAAAGAAAGGCTAAATTTAACCACACAACAGCAATACTTTTATTCCTCAACGCCTGAAAACCCCAGATATGCGTGCATATGCAAGCCTCAGTTGCTTAGTGCTAAGAGTACTAATTACTCATTGTACAATTCTGCTCTCTACTGTATATGATCCCAAATGACTCCACAAGCTGTGAGTCTCTTCTATACTTTTCAATTGCAAAAACAATTGAACCTCATTGCAATCTTACACCAACACTACGAATTCACCGAAAGCCTATTTTCGGAATTTGTTTACCATATATACAAATTTTGATGTAAACATTCAAACATTATTCAAAGCACGAAAGTGGTAGAACATAACGACTATATAATTTATCACAAATCACGCATATATACAGTGGTTCAAGTTGTTACAACATAATTACCTAGAAACAGAGACCGCGGCAACACGGCGAGGCTGCGTGACGGCGATTATTCCGGCCTTGGTGTAGCCACTTCTGTGTAAAATCTGAGAGAGTTGAGTGCTCTTCCCTGAACCGGTCTCCCCAATTATCACTGCCACTGTGTTTTGATCCACAGTTTCCAATATCTTGTCTTCAAATTGTAGAATTGGGAGGTTCGCCATTGAATTTGAAGTCAATAATTTCAAATTTGCCTCCAATTTGAACCACAATAACGAGGGTTTTTGGGTAGATTTGATTTCTGAAACCTTCCGGAGGGTTTTGGTAAATTACAATTTCACATCAATAACGAATTTCTAACTTTGTAGTTCGTACTAATTTATAATTGAGAAAACTACAGTTTTGGCCCTTATACTTTAAACAAAACGATTAAATGGTTACTATATTTTGTATATTATTTTAAAAGTGGTCCCTGTACTTAACTTTCTTAAAAATAATCCTTTAACAAATGAATATTTTCGTACTTTTACCCATTTTTTGTCTTTTCATTGTTTGTCTTCTTTTCTTAAATGCACCTCCTTACCACCTTCCTAACGCCCCCGTTCTTTTCCTCATTCTCACATCCCCCTTCATTGTTGCAACTCACCGCCCCCTTTTCCCGCCCTCTTTCAATCATATTTGAACCTTCATCTTCGGCTCGTGAAGTCAACCCTTTTATCATATGTTCCTTTATAAATTTATTTTCTTACAAAACGTGTCAAGAATTCCAAGTTCTTATTTTTTATTATTAATGTTGTAGTTTGTTGGCTTTTAGTATATGGACGCACTGTATGTGTTTTCTCATTTAACTTGGATTTAATCAGGTAGTATACTGGATAATATCTTGCTTGGATATCTTATGGATAATCAGATATATTAAGAAACAAAAGAAAGTGTTGTTTGACGAAATATTTTGAAAGCTGGTGTACAATGATTTAACCGAGATAAAAGAGGAATTGGCTAATCTCAACGATGGATAAAAGCAAGGGGTTTAGCTTGTTGGTGCTCTATATTATGATGCTAACATATATCTAATGGATAATTTATTAAGTGTTGATGCAAACACTGCTTTGAGCTTATTTAATTTTTGTTTTACAGTTTGGACACACTATCACGACACACCAGACCCGACACCACTTGAATCAAACTTGGTATAGTAGAGCAATAAATGCTCGTCGAAATGAGGGGTGTGTTATGTATGATGTGCCTGCTTACAAGTAAGATATAGTGATGGAAGGGGAAACTATGTAAGAGAATAAGCGGGGCTGGAGAGCCACTGAGGAAAAAAACAGTTGAGTTACATAGTGGGGCGGGAATGAAGTGGATCAACTGTGGTAACGGCTCCAAAAGTTACAACATGGTGGCAGATGGGAAGATATGAGAGTTGCATGCCAGTATTGTGGCTAGCAAAGGAAATAAAGGAGGTGGATAATACTGAGTTGGATACCACATAACTCGTCACATTAGCATGATAACCGATTAATGCTTAAACCAATTATTTAGGTAGTTAAATGTTTAAAAGTTTACATCTTATATAATGAAAGTTTTGAAAATTTATCGAAAATAATAATGAAGTAAAAGTACGTTACTTTTTCATATAATCTGTCTTTATTCTTTTAAAAAAATGGATCTTATAGTAAGTAATATATATAAAAATTCAGAATAAAAAACAAAAAAGCTGGTTTGCCCGAGAGGTTAAGGGGGAAGACTTAAGATCTTCTGCACACAAGTGCGCATGGGTTCGAACCCCATAGCCAGCAATTATTTTTCGTTTTTTAAACTACATACTAGGTCCATGTGGTTTGTAAAAAATAACAGTTTTAGTCCTTACAGTTTCGAAATTACAAGATGATCACAATTATTTATAAAAACATATGGGTTTGGTCCTTCAGGATAATGACTGTTAAATGAAGTATTTTCATCTTTTATCGATTAGTTTTTGTCATCTACCTAATCAAAAACCACATACTAAATCATAAAATTGATTTTGATTGGTTAGAAGAAAAAAAGGTGTGATAAAATAACGTAAATGCTCATCATTTACCTATTACTATAATCTTGAGTTTTTCAGACTAAACTTTTAATTGAAATTTAGGATTAGAAACATATACTAGATTTAGGTAACATGTTTGATTAAATGTACAATGTGTAAATGATAATATGTTAAAATTAAAAGTACAGTATTGTAATAGGAATTGATGATTCTATAATAAAACAATTTTCAAAGTACAATGCTATAATAAAAAATGTCACATCTACGGTATGATATATGTGAACAACCTACGTGAAAGTGAGGTGACATGAAAATATAATATAATTGGTAAAGTTAAATTAAAAAGTTACCCAATGTTATAATATGTAAAATTTTCAAAATACAAGGAGCTAAAAGTACATTGTTATAATCTATATATATATTAAAAGAAGAACCAAGAGTATTGAGGTGACATCATGAGAATTGAGGTGTTGGTGAATTGTGTTTGAGTTTGAGATATCTCACATTGGTGTAGAATTGAAAATTTTGAACATTATGAAGTGTATAAGAAAGGTTGATTGGATGCCTTTGTGTCAAATATGGGGTTTGCCTCATTGGGTTGTCTTTCTTTGGATGACCTTATTTGAAATTTATAACCATGGTTGGAAACCAATCAAACCAAATGCCTCATAGGGTTATCTTTCTTTGGATGACCTTATTTGAAATTTATAACCATGGTTGGAAACCAATCAAACCAAATGGTAGAAATTATAGTGCAAAATTATTATACTATTATATCTTTATATATATATATATATATTAAAGAAAGAACTAAGAGTATTGAGGTGGCATCATGAGAATTGAGTATTGAGGTGTTGGTGAATTGTGGTTTAGTTTGAGATATCCCACATTGGTGAAGAATTGAAAATTTTGAACAATATGAAGTGTATAAGAAAGGTGGATTGGATGCCTTTGTGTCAAATATGGGGTTTGCCTCATAGGGTTATCTTTCTTTGGATGACCCTATTT